GATCTATGTAATCTTCATAATTGAAGAGTTCAAATTTCCAAAACTTTGAAAGGCAATAAATGTATGCGAAAAATCTCAAGCTCAATTTTGTTTTGCTACTACAAGAAGAGAGACTAAAAAAATTCCCTAATAAAAAGATTATTATTTGTTTTGCTGTTTGTAGAATTAATTTTGGGATTTTTTTTCTTTTAGATAGAAAAAAATGATAGATATTATATCCGGTTTACTAAGTATACTAGCTACGATTAGCCCGGGTTGTACCCGGGCCCAACAATCATAGTCAAAGGTAAAAATTTCATGTGGCATCCGGTTTTGCTTCACCCATTGGATTTATGCCTACTTCTTAAAAAAAAGTTTAATTGATACCCAATTTTTAGATAATTTCATATGCATAAACTTTTCTCTTCTTCTTTACTACTATTTTCTTATTCTTTGTGCTTAGAGTTTCTTCTTTTCTTCTTAGTTGCAAAATGAGTTTTTTAAATTTTTTGTCTTTTCGATAATTTGATGATTGAGATTTATTCTTTATGATTATTGAAAGTTCTGTTTCAAATTTGAGCTCATTTGGAGTAGATTTGAGTATTGAATAGTGTATTGGATTGTTGAAAATCGAAGAACAAGTTTATATTTCAGAACTTAAGATTCGAAATCTGAAGTTGCATTCAATATATTGAACTACTGAAGATTCGAATTTCTGAAGTTGTATTTGAAAGATAAAAGAACTTCAGATTTGATTTCTGAATTTGCATTGAAAAGATTAAACTACTTCAGATTCGAAGTTCTGAAGTTGCATTAATAGAAGAACTTCATATTTGATTTCTGAAATTGCATTAAAGAGATTGAACTAATTCCAATTCGAGCGGATACACTTTACATTTTTTTGTGCAATGCAGGTATAATTTCAATGGTGATCCCAAAAGTGAGTATATATGAAAATGCCCCTAGTCAAACTCCTCTATGTATAACTGAATTATACATATATTATACATCTATTAACTAAATATATAGTTAGATGGGTGACTATTTAAATTAATTCTTTTAAATATCTTAGATACTCATTACATTCAAGCAAAGCTTAAAAGAATTTGCTTCTTTTTTTTTTAGACAAAAGCTAAACTTTCTTAAGATTTTAATTGACTCAAACTTCAAATAATATTTATTTATATTTTCAAATGTTACATATATGAAATTCCCATTAATTGATGATCCTTCTCTATGCACAACTTTACGAATGAATGCTCTCAATAAAACAATCAAAACCTTATCATAAACTCATAAATGTTGCAAATATTTAATTTGTATTTTCGCCTCGTTTTATTAACTTAAATACGGATTAGAAGGTAAAATAATTTTGGCCTAATACATACTTTGCCCCCTTAACTTGTATGCAAATTCTTTTGACACACTGCAGTTTTACATGTAATATTCTCACCAATCCCTTTATATGTATTACTGTTTTATATGATTTACCATATTTTTTATTTGGCAAATCTATATGCTTTACCTAATTACTTTGCGCAAAGTTTCGCTTATTTGATTTAAGAAAAGGGCGATCTCTGCCTATTTCCCTCCCATCTTATAATTTTTCACGTTAATTTAATTGAAGCAAAGCTTAGTCCAAATTAAGCATATTTCATATGTGTCCCGCTTGAGCATTTGAAGTTCATACCCACTTGCTGCTATCTATAACATCTGCTCACCATTTCATAACCACGGACCTTTTGAATGAAACAATTAATTAGTCAGACATTAGGTTAGATGATTATATAATATTTATTTTGTTTGTCATGCTTAGATAATTCAATGAATATAATATATTATATTAATTTTATATTACCCAAGCACTATATTGCATATCGATGTCTTTTTCTAAATCCCTACATAACTAGCCGATTGGATTCACAATTTACTTTTTTTGTCGGTATAAATAGATATACACTATTATATATATGCACATCCACCGGCTATATTTAGTTTAATCGGTTGGGTAGATGATCAAATTTTAAATAGCAAAAGATTAAAGAGTAATCATCAAGTATTAAAAATTTCAATGTTACACAAAATAATATTAACAATATTCAATAGTTGAAAAGGTGCATGACTCATTTTTATTCATTTTCATTTTTATGGTATTTTGGAATTTTAGTTTAATTTGTTTTTCTATTATATTTCTATTTTTTTCTGCTTAAATATATTTAGGAGCTGCAATGCATGGTTGTAGTAGTAGAATTAAACTATCTAATGTACCTCAGAGTTGTAGAATATACTTCTCTTTTATTTAATTTGCAAATGCAGAATAAAAATTCCTTTATTTTAATGTAATATTTAGAATGCAATTTTTGATAATTTTCTTAAACTCTAATGTGACCTCTAGCATATGTTTGATTTTTTTTTATATAAAGATCAAATATTAGATAGCCCACTATTTGTAATAACAGATATTTCGTATGCAAGAAAAAATATTATATGCTACAATTATTGTTGTATCGTGAAATAAACTATACAATAACAATAACAACAACAACAACAAACGCAGTATTTTTTCACAAGTGAGTTAATTTAGAATTAAAAAAAATAATCTTTGAACTATTACGGCTGATCGTAACTTTACATTGAATTAAAAATTATGTTTTTAAAAATAAATTTTCATTTTAAACAAATGGAAATCAATTTGCAACTCTAAGTTCCTTTAAAATTGAGTCTTTTCTATTTTAATATGTAGAGATAGATTTAGTCTTTAGTTTTTGTGTAGATAGATTTTAGCCTTCCTATGGGTTCAACTGTGCATAGCATTATTATATAATTTGTTATAAAATCTTGTCTCTTCTTTTATTTATTTAAAGTAGAGGTATATATAAAGAGATTGCATGTCCCATTTAAAATTAAAATAAAAAAAACTTGAATTCTTGGGTAGAGTATTCCTGCAATTTTAGAAAGATAAAACTAAGAAGAATACGCTGCTCCGTCAAAAAGTAGAATTATAGAGATTGTGGGAAAGAGAGAAAATATGTCAGGTGTCTCTCTGACACCATATCTATTGCTTTTCGGAATATAAACTGTGCTCAGACTTTGCCATAATTACCAAAATACATACATGCAACTATGTAACAAAGAATAGAAAGAGGGGCAAAAATGGAACTTCAAAAAGTGGTACAACGGCTGGGTTGATGGTTGATGAGATAAGCGAGGGTAGTTTCGTCAAAGGTTGAAAACTTTATGTAGCAGCTACAGTACATTTACTTTTCGGCCAATCATGTTGCTCAGTTTTCATTAAAGTACTGAAATACCCTCAGCTAAGCAGCCATATTGACCTCATGTGTGCTATTCCGGTTTGCTACGCTAGCGTTTGGTCATAAATTTTCAAATTTATTTTAAAAAATTTGATATGGATGAAGTTTGTTTTGAAGATGAAAATGTATTTGGACATGATTTTTCAAAACATATTTTACTTTTTATTTAAAAAAAATATGAAACATGACTTATACCCACAAATTCTAAAAACTATTACAAATACCAAATAGTATCATTATCACAAACCATAACCCTGTACATAAATAAGTTTGGTACAAAATTATTATTTTTATAATGAACTATATAAATCATTAATTACAGTGAAATCCCATTAGAGAATTACGGCTCTTAATTAAGAAGAAAAAGTTAACTGATATGAGTGTTCAGAAAGCCATTTAGCCTACAAATTAGAAGCAAAAGTAAGATGCACAAAGGATTGAGCTAATAAGGGAGCATATTCATCAAATAATTAGTTGGTCGTAATAAATGTGGGCTCTTTTATAAATTATAAAAGTTTGGGGTAATATTTTAAAAAAATTAAAAATGTAACGGTCATGTTTTGACCCAAAATTAGCAATTGAGATGATTTTGGAATTTTGAATTTTGAATTTGGGATTTTACCAAAATATAAATAAAATTTATGACCAAATATATATTTGTCAAATAAATCTCAAATTTATTTTGGCAAAACTCAAGGCAAACGGTCCTAAGTATATACAATTATGTGCAGAAAGTACTCTACCGCAAATACTATCGTGATTAGCATACTACAGTTTCAAATCCCACAAATCACGTTAGGTTGCTAACTTATCTCTTGATTCACTTCGACCTATACACGTTTCTACTTTTAAAAAATTCTCCCGTTTCTCTCTCATACAGAATTTGCCATTAACAGCCATAGAAGTTCGGAATGCAAATATATTCAGAAACAATAATAAATTTGAGCATCAAAAAGAAAATATGGTATAGTTTGGAAATAAAATCAAAACTAATGGAGTATGCGAGGACGAGGAAGAACACAGACGCAACCCACTGCTGTTTTTGGAAGCTCAGATGGAAATTTTATACCGACGGTGCAAAATCAAGAACAATTGATGGTTACTCCACCACATGCTGATGCTATAGTTCAACCTAGCTCGAAAGAAATTGGGGCTTCTTCGAGTTTATCTGCTGCTACAAAATTGCTGAATCTAAGTGCAACACAGCAAGGAGAATAGCAGAGTGTGACTACGACTCTGCCAGATCCAGTAATTGTTGAAGAGGAAAAAGAGCCTCCAGTGAATACAGGTAAATCTATTTGTTAGAAATTGATATGCTTAAATTGGTATTAATCTCTCGTATGTTCCCCCAGAAATAATTAACGATAAAATTATTGTCCAATCGAAAAAAGCTGAAGTGAGAAATGGAGCAGTGCTTTGATTGTGTACATCATTTGTGACGCTCCATGGTACAATTACATGGTGAGATATGTTAATCAAACATGGTTTAATATTACTGAGCCTGAGATATTCCTACATAATGAAGGGAATTATGTGGTTAAATTCCAATCTAAGGCTGATATGATATGAAGTATTTGTCTCCGGACCTTACTCTATCAATAATAAGCCCTTAATCCTAAAATCTTGGTCCCCTGATTTTGATTAATCTCATACCTATATACAGACAACAAATCAAGTAAATACAACTGACTTCATATATATATATATATATAAGTTGAGAACAATCTTTTGATTACAAATAATACACAATTTTATTCAATCCTACTAAATAAGTTTGAAAGAAAGTTATCCATAAAACAAAATGGTTTTTTTAAGGACAAGTTGATTGATAAAAGTCAAGGTGCAATTTTATATAAGTAATATTGTCCAAATACAACTGCATCCTTTTACAAAACATGATCCTCACTGTCTCATCCTGTTGATCTGATTCAAAGCTGGCTGTAGAATATTGTAAGCAACCCAAAGCAAAGCAGGAGTCACAACAATCAGCAAAAGTTGTCCTCTGTTGTCACTTGTTGCATCTGCAATCATAGCAATTTCACTAGCAGCTGAAGCCTCAGGAGTGTTGAAAAAACCTGATGCTGCTAAACCAGTAAGACCAAGACCAATAATAACTCCTTGATTCCTCATTCTGTTGATTTGGTTCAGGGCTGGTTGAAGAATGTTGTAAAGAACCCATGCTATAGCAGGAATTAAAGGAAGTAAAAGTGCTAAACCCCTGTTGTCTCCCTCTGCTATGTCAGCAATTTGTTGCGCTGCAAAAGCGCTGTCGCATGAGCTCAGGGTTGAGAAAATGGTACCTGCAATTGCTGTTCCAGTGAGGGAACTTGATAAGTTTGAGGTGTTTTCAGATGTTTTGGAAGTCAAGAGACCTTTTGGGAGGTTTTGAAGGGAGAGAAGAGAGATGGGTTTGGGCTTTGAAGAGTTGTTAATAGATGCTTTGGTAAAGCATTTGACATTGAGCATAGCCATGGTTCCTATGGTGGCTGCCATTTCTTTGTTGCTGTTAGGGATTTCTGGCTTTGAACTTACAATTTGGTTTGTTTTTGTTTGCTATTATTGAAGTGAGAAATGTGGAATATAGAAAGAAGAAGAGTCAAGTGATAAAAATGAGATGTCCAATAGGAGTGTGGCATTTTAGATTGGTCTCTTATCTAGAGATTGTGATTCGGGCAATATGGACCTCATATTTGACAACACACCGATGGTTTCTTATCACTTCCTGTTCACTTCTTTTCCAGCAACAATAGCTAGAGACTTATTAAATCCTTTTGGAGAAATTATATTTTGGATGAGACTCAACCAACAAAACTTGTTAGTTATTAGACAAGTGGAAAAGTGGGTCCCACATGGCAGAATTAAAAGGAAAATACCTAAGTGCCAGAATAATTGGAGGTGCCTAATACAAGTTTTATTAGTTGAGTCTCACTCAAAATATAATTTCTCATTCTTTTGATAGGGAATGAGGGGATAACTCTATTGTTCTTCATGACATAGTTTTATTAAGTACAATTGTGTCACTTCATATTAAATAATTTTGAACATTCATTCTTAATTAGTTTGAAGAACTATAAACTATCCCTACAAGTAATCTGCTTATCTTCAAAAAAAACTGAGTATCCTGTTATCAGAAAGTTTAGTAAAGTTTAGCTGGTAAAGTTATCATTCTTCACCTCTGTTTTGGATTTGTGACCTAAGTGGGCGTTTGGACATAAGAATTGTAAAATTCCAAAATAGGGGGAAAATATTTTTCAAATGAAAATGGTATTTGAAATTTAGAGTTGTGTTTGGACATGAATATAATTTTGGATTGTTTTTGAAGTTTTGTGGATGATTTGAAAGAAAATTTACAAAATGCATCTTGAAGTGAAAATTAAAAATTTTATGAACAAATGTTGATTTCGAAAAAAAGTGAAAATTTCTTATGTCCAAACGGGTTCTTACGTATCCTGGTGGAATGATAGTACTAAATTCCCTCTCGTGTCCTATTGGTGAGTTCTTTTCAACAATGATTTATAAAGATTTAGTTCATGAATGTTCTTGTTTCTTATTTACATTAGTGCAAAAACTTGGTTTCCTTGACTTTGGTTGGCAGTTTTTAAGGACCAGCCTTTGCATATCTAACTTGCAGTAAAGGTGATGATATGCTTTACACTTGCTCTATTTGGCACCTTTCAGACTTGTTGGTCTAATTTGTGTTACAAGTAGTGTTTGCTTTATTCTACAACTTTAATCAACCTTCAAACGAAAATTCAGGTGCGAATACTAGTGCCATTAATAGACGATGAAGAACTATAGTATGACTTATTATGAATCTGGGATTCTTGCTTTTGCATGTGAGATTCCTGGAAGCTTCTCCATCTGTCTTCGGCTGTACAATTTTACATCGGCTAGGAACATTAATTGATGTGCACAAACATATGATAAATAACTTGTTTAAATTAAAACCTTCAATATTTTGGGATTGATATGCGAAATGGGAAAAAAAATTCATAAGCTGATTAGTATGAAACGCTTTGCAATATTTAGTAGGGCATTCTGCATTTATTGTGTTCCTTTGGATTTTTATAGATACTATACTATCACATTATGATATTGAATTTGCAGTAAAAACTGATTAAATTACGACATCCTGGTTTAAATGGAAAAACAAAATATGTAATCACAGGCTCTCAAGCTGCTGTTAGTATACCAGTTCTGTTTTATCTTATTATCTTGAGGTGCATTCAGCTTTGGCCAATTATGCTTAAAATATGTAAGAAGCTTATGTAAATTTGTCGAGATTGGGAGCAATTAGCTGTTTTAGACGTGGATAATTAAATTTCCGAGTCATGTATTCATTGTCTTGTTGCTGACCCCTTGCAATGCTACAGCGAGCAGAATATTATTTGTTGTTTCTCCAAATTATCATATTCTAAAGGCAGTAAGAAAGGGCTGTAGATACACATATAAACGGGCACATGCAACTTAAATTTATTGGTATTTGGTAGATTGCTCCTCCACTGGTGTAACATGAGGTGTCAGCTAACCACACTTACTAAATACAAGGAATTTCAGTTATTTTGTACTTAAATGTGAAAAAAATGGGAAAAATAATGTACTCAACCAATGAAAAGCGAGCAAATACTTTGGTATGGAAAATTGAAAAAGAGCAAGCTTAAACTCTCAAATTCTGAAACTGAAATTAAACCCCTACCAGGCTACCACATAAATTTTGGTTTTTGGATTGGAACTCGATGTGGTACCCATTTTTCATCATTTTAAAATGGTCGCATTAACTCTTGGAAAAATTATTATTGGTATGGCAGAAACATTTTTCTCAAAATTATTTTTGGAGGAATGACTTATTTTTCAAAATTATTCCTAAAACGTCTTTATTGATATTTGGTTGTGGGGTAGAAAATATTTATTAGAAATTGATAATTATGTTAAAGAAATAGATAGTGTTTTGATGAACAATTTTTAGTATTACATGTTGATAATAATATTTAAGTGTAAGTTGGAGTAACAATATGAAGTCAAGATATTGTGATTGTCGTGAACAAAATTGAAAAGTAAAGAATGTCATTTTTCTTCATTTGGTAAAATATATTTTTAAAGAAAATATTATCTATGTATAAAATTAAAAATATTTGGTCAACACCAAATAGAGAGCATTTCTTCATCTTATAGGATAGTGCGCCAAAGTGAAAGGAAAAAAGACAAAAGAAAGAAAAGTTACTCTATCTAATTAGGACCTTTGCTTTTGGAGCTAATAGTAGAGGACCATAATGCGAAAAAAAGGTTACTGCGTGATGGGGCCATAAGTTAGGTGCGGATAAGTTTTTATATTATATTTATACTTGTATTTATATTAAACTAATAAATATATATCATTGTTTGGGGATAAACTTTTCTTCTTTTTTTTTTGTATTTATTTTTTAAAAAGTTCATTATTAACGAATAATTATTTTTTATCCATTTTGCCACTATTAATTGAGACTCTAATTTCATTGATTTAATCAGCCATTCTAACATCTGCAATTTATCATTGTTACATAAACCAAACAAGAGAAATGAGTAAATATAAAGATATTAATTTCAAGATAAACCAAGGAAAATATCAAGAACTTTTCGTCCCTTTTCTTTCCTCTTTTCTCACAGGTTTTGAGTTGTTCTTTGTCTAACATATGGGATACAGCTGGTGAGGAACGGTTTCGGACTATCACTACTGCTTCAACAACATTATTCGTAACATTGAACAGCATGCCTCAGACAATGTCAACAAAATACTTGCAGATGAATACAGGATTAAGTTTTTTGAAACTAATGCAAAGACAAATCTGAACGCGCAACTTGTTTTCTTCTCAATAGACCGCTCAACCAGAAGCAGGAGCTGTAGGTAGTCAAGCTGCCCAGAGATCAGCTTGCTGTGGTTCGTAAAGATGGTTGGATATTACAACTGCGGTTGCACTTGCTGGGCTCTAAACCACCAAGAAAAGCAAACCAAAAGCTAAAGTTGAAGGCAATATCGTTGGGGATTGTAATATTGAAATTTAACGTGTGAAAGATTGGTTGACTATTATTTGACAAGGCAAATTTGCTCCTAACATCTTTCCAGTTTCCTTCTGTTTGACTTCATTAGCTCAAGGACTTAAGAGTTCGCAAATACAACTTTTATGATTGATAAAAGAAAAAGAGTGTTGAAGTGAAATGATACGCAGCTTATTGGAACTGTAAGATACAAATACATTACTCCATACAAAGGGATAAAAAGTCAGATTATGTCCAAATATAAAACTATTGCACATAATTATGATCAATTTCGATTTGTGTAGATGTTAAATCACAATTACAGTCGAATTCCGCTTTCCTTTTGTTTGTTTCTAGTCGCTAGCGATCACATCTTTTTTTTCCACGTAAAATTCTGCGTGCAGCTTTAACAAGTCTGCTTTTTGTTATCAAAGAAAAAATATACGCCACCTTTAATGACAACAGACAGCAGTAATACCTTATCGAACTTCTGTGCTATTTCAAGTAAATATAGTCCATGGAGTCCCATAATTTTTTGAAAATAAAGCAACATAAAATTTCACTTTGGATGTTGCTCAAGCACTGGCCCAACTTTCCGCTACATCTTTCTTACATGTGCATAAATCGAAGTGCAAGCAAGCTCTTTCATCGTGAAGTTTCTAGTGAACAGTAGGCTCAGTTGAAAGAGCAAACAGATATTGCATGGATGAAAACAAAATTCTATTTAACTTTCAGCAAGCGGTGATCTAACAGTTCCAATTAGAAGCAATGCTCAAATATAATTACATCTTGTTAGTTAATCAAGGGTTAGATATTATATACACACGCATGACTTCCACCATCACCATAACTAGTATACAAACCCCGCAAGAACCCACTAAATTTGGAGCTATTTACATTGCGAGTTTGCGTAGACAGCGTTGAGCCAACAGAGCTTGCTCTACTTGAAGCCCCACATACAGAAATAGCATTCAAGTTTGGAGGTACCATCATGCAAAGGGAAAATTTTCTACCTCCTAAGATGGTCACGGGTGAAGAATGGATGCCGCAAGGCTTCACGAGCAGTCAATCTTTCTGAAGGATCATACCTAAGAAGTCCTTGCAATAGATTAATAAGATCTCCAGCAGAATGATCCACATGCTGCATGATAATGTTCTGTGACACCAAACACAATACCCATAAACAACAGCGCAAATTTCATTCAACCAATAAATTAGAAAGGAATTAGCATTGTACCTGAAGGCGGGCCAACTTCAACACAGCTTTGATACTGTCACGAGATGTTGCTCCTTCGGGCCAGTCTAAATGTCCTCTTCTAACATACTTTTCAGCTTGCCGGCTGATTACAGCAGAATAAAATTTAGTGTAATGAAAGAGGAGACTTCTCTTCTGGAATCTGAAAGTGTTGCATGAGACCAAATCTACAACTTACTCCACTCTTTTCAGCATGTGCTGAGGCAGGGGGCCCAACACTTTCTCCATCATAGCAAGATGTTCTAAATTCTCATGTGTTTGAAACAATGCTTCTCCCTGAATGAAGTTGCACAATTCATTAACTGCAACCAATAAAATTAAAGGCACCATAGTCCAGC